GAGAGAGAGAGAGAGAGAGAGAGAGAGAGAGAGAGAGAGAGAGAGAGAGACATGAGCGATCCAAGATTGGTTGCCACTTACTTTTAAGGCGAGATTGCGGAGTCTGGTGGAGAAGGAAGATAGCGGCCATAGCCGCGGAGCTGTAACACAGAGTACCGGAGAAGAGAGAAGAAGAAGTGTGGAAGGAGGAGATCGAAGAGGAAGACGGACATAGCCGGGGGTGTGTATAAAGAAAAAAAAAAAAAAAGATAGAGAAGGAGAAAGAAAGTGAGGAAGGGAAAGTAGATGGCGAGGGTGACGAGGGTGATGGTGCCGGCAGCCATAGCCGAGGTGAAGGGTTGACCATGCGTTGACCGGAGCGTTGACCAGAGGGTTGACCAAGGGTTGACCGGGCGTTGACCGGAGCGTTGACCAGAGGGTTGACCAGAGGGTTGACCGGGCATTGACCGAGGGTGTTGACCAAGTGTTGACTGGGGGTTGCCCGCGTTGACTCGGCGTTTACCAAGGCGTTGACCGGGGCTGCTGACCAAGATTTTGGCCAAGCTGGCGTTGGTGATATCTCGTTGACCCCTCAGCCTATCCCCTTACCCTGTTGATGTGCACTTACCCCACGGTACTTGCTGAGTTGTCTGTCTACTCTTTCTGCATTGAGTCTCTTTTGTCTTAGGTGCTAGGACTCTGTGGATGAAGGATAGGGCCTTGCTGCCAAACCTACACGGGCTTAGTAGGACCAAAGCTCAACTCTGGCACTTGGGGACCTGGGCATGAGCGGCGAGCGCTCGTTAAACAACTCGTCTAGCCCAATGACCGGTACTGTCCGACAGGTTTACTGAGTTCAGTGTAGAGGGTCTGAACTCCGGGTTGTAGGCTGAAACGAGGGCCGTCTTTAAGTGTTGAGGCCTGGTTGAGCCACTCCCCGACCGGACCTATTATAGCTGATGATCTGTGTCTGACGACTCGACTGTCCCGAGGGATACGAACCCCTCCAAGGACCGGTACAAACCGGCGGGCTGCTCGGTGTGGCACAGTAGGCTGGAACGACTGAGTTGTGGGCTGAAATCGCCAGGAAGAACCAAGCTGATCACGTCGTCCTGTCTGCGACGTTAAAGAATTCTTGAGGAGTTACGGGGGATCTCCTTAAATGCCGCCAGATCAGCGTTGGGTTCGGTAGTGACAGCCTTAGAATAAGTCTTGGGTTAGTGACCATAGTTGACAGGGTCTTACCCTGTGGTCCTTAGGAAGTCGGTCAATAGGCTTGTGTCCGGGTAGGTCCAAGTGGTGAGGAGTGGGACCTTTGTCGTGCACCTGACACCACCATGATAGACACCCGATGCAGCACCTCCACTATGCCGTACACGAAGGAGGAGGAGGCGAAGATGGCTGCCATCCTGCAGGAGAGAAAGGAGGAAGCCAAAAAGAAGGCCTTGAAGGAGGAGCAGGCGGCCAAATTGAAGAAGATGGAAGAAGAGATGGCCAGGGAGAAAGAGAGGTTAAGGAAGGAAGAAGAAGAGAAACTGAAGGCGGTGGATGAAGAAGAGGACGGTCCGCCACTGCAAAGGAGTAGTGGGCAGCACAGTAGTAGTACTGGTGGAGACCTGGAGATGAGGATATCTGAATGGGTTGCCAACCTGACTGTGGGAGAAGAGGAAGAGGTTAGTATGTATATCCCGCAGGATCAGCAAGAAGTTGCCATGAAGGCTTGGGATGCAGAGAAAGACCCTCTTAAACGTCAAGCGTTGGAAGACGAGAAGAGGATGGAATGGAAATTAGCGGTGATGAGGGAGAAGAAGAGGATAATTGAAAAGGCAGCGGAGGCGACGGAGGCCTTGGAGGAAGTGAAGGAGATAGAGGCGCAATTAGCCGCCCAGCCCGACCTCCCGAATCAGATGCGAGTCATAGCTCGGAGCGTCGCATGCCTGGCATGGGTTCAAGCAAACCAATATGACTTTAGCAGAAGTCAGGACATAGCTGTGCGCTCGATACGGTTGGGCTTTCGAGACTTTGCTCGTGAGCTGGTAGGCGCCGTTGGAGCCGAGGTGGGTCACCGCCTCGACAAGACTGAGCAGTTCTGCGCTGACGCCATTGAAGGCGTCAAGGCGGCAGCTCCCAAGGAGGAGGAAGCACATCCTCCTCGCCGGGAGCCTATCAAAGTCAAGTTCCCCGATTCCTACAGCGGGAAGAGGGAGGAAAACTTTGACAATTGGGAGGCCAACGTTAAGACCTATGTGCACTTGCAACAGGTCTCCCCACATCAGCAAGTCCTAATTGCTATCCACGCGCTGAGAGATGAGGCCGCCAGTTTTGCAAGGTCCCTCGTTCGCGCTGCCAACTGTAGTGATGATCCCGTTGCGTACTCCTCATTTACGTCCCTCATCGAATTCCTGAAGTTGCTGCGGGAGCGATTTGCTGATGTCGCTCGCAGTGTCAAGGCCTAAGACGAGCTCCAAACCATCCATTCTCGYAAATGGAAGAGTGCCAGGGCACTCAAGGGTACAATGGATGAGTTGGTGGCCGTCCCTGACCATGGGGTCACAGAGGGCCAGTTGGTCAACCTCTTTTACCGGGCTATGCCCGAAGCCTTTCGAGGGCATTTCTTCGCGAAGAGCGAAGACACTGCCACCACTTACGATTCCCTTTGTCGTGAGGTGGTGGCTTTTGAAGCGAAGTCAGTGTCCCTGTCTACCTTCTGGCATAAGGATTTGGACAAGGGAAAGCAATGGAAAGGCCGCACTATCTCAGGGCAGGTAAAGACCAAGGATAGCCTTGTCCTGACTTTAGATGAGGGTAGTGTGGATGAGATTCCCTACGATCAGATTGAGTGGGGGCTAGAGGAGGCGGACAGCGGTGTGGGCCAGGGGAGATCCTACGCTTGTCTCTTATACACATCTAGATGTGTATAAGAGACAGGGATAGCCTTGTCCTGACTTTAGATGAGGGTAGTGTGGATGAGATTCCCTACGATCAGATTGAGTGGGGGCTAGAGGAGGCGGACAGCGGTGTGGGCCAGGGGAGATCCTACGCTGCTGTCGCGGCCGGAGGGAGGCCGCAAGGAGGAAGAGGCCAGGGCCAAGGGGGCCGGGCCTCAGGGAGCCGGTTTCAGGGCGATCAGGGGGTTGGCGGCAGAGGAGGAAACCGCCAAGCGGGAGGCAGGGGTCAAGGTCCCTCGCAAAACCGTCCCAGGAATAGGTCTCCCTATAGAGTAGGAGGATGGCACCCAGGGCTACCTCAGGGTAGGCCTTGGGAATCTTTAGGTCAAGACCAGGACTTCAGGGGGTTGGCGGCAGAGGAGGAAACCGCCAAGCGGGAGGCAGGGGTCAAGGTCCCTCGCAAAACCGTCCCAGGAATAGGTCTCCCTATAGAGTAGGAGGATGGCACCCAGGGCTACCTCAGGGTAGGCCTTGGGAATCTTTAGGTCAAGACCAGGACTTACAGCAAAAACGATTGGACCGGGGTCAGTGCATTTTTTGCGGTGACCCGGGCCATATCATCAAATATTGTCCCAAGTAAAGAGAGACCCGAACGACTGCCCAAGGGCCAAAAGGCAGCCGCCAATAGGGGTAGCAACTGCCCCTACCACTAGGCCATGTGGGGAAAATAGCGCTAGCCGGGAGGAGACTCCCACACCACATGTGCCTACGGCAGAGGTTGCAGGCCGGTGTCTAGATAGCTGTCCCGAAACTGCTTGTGTTAGAGTTTCGCTAGACACCTCCCTCACAGGAGTGGCCGAAGAGTTGAAGGAGAGGATGCCCGCCTGGGCCAAGATGAAGAAGGAGAACAAAGGGCAGCTTATATCACTAGATACAGAGATTTTTAGAAGTARAGTAGGGGCCCTAGTAGACTCAGGGGCCACTAGCAGCTATATTAATAGGAAAGCGCTGCAGAAGTTGAGGTTGGGACTTAAAGTCCAGAAACTGACAGACCCCATAGTTAGTATCCTCGCGGACAATCGTACTATGTGTAGAGGATAACGTAGAGGGAGTCCAGGCGTATCTCCGCCTAGAGAAAGATGGGAAAGGACGCGGACCAGCGAGCATCCTGCGTGGATCGAGCGTGTGGAACTGCTGATCATACAGGCTTGGAGGACTAACGTGGAGGGCGATCTCCTTGGCTTTCTCTTTGGATCAGTACAGCCGAGGCGCCGCCAGTTGATTGCGCAGGAGCTCATCGCGCCGATCGTGCACGCGGGTAACGTGGACGCGGACCAGCGAGCATCCTGCGTGGATCGAGCGTGTGGAACTGCTGATCATACTGGCTTGGAGGACTAACGTGGAGGGCGATCTCCTTGGCTTTCTCTTTGGATCGGTACAGCCGGGGCGCCGCCAGTTGATTGCGCAGGAGCTCATCGCGCCGATGGTGCAGTTGGCGGATGATCTCTCGCCCAACATCTATTCGCAAAGTGACGACAGTCCTGCTCCGCATGTTCTCGAGTGGGCAGCCAGGGCCACGCTCCATTTCAAGGAGCACGAGTGTAGGCTCCCTAGTTCGTCAGGCGAGGCCAAGACTGCCCGCCTGTTCCATGTGTCAGGGGTAGAGAATTCCTTGGCGCACTGCTGCCTTAGTGCCCCCGCGTTCGCCAGACTGGTGAAGAAGGAGGGATTGGAGGAACAGGTCTTTGTTGCCTATGTTAGGCCAGTGACTGAGCCTACGGAGGAGAAGCCGATGGACCCTGCGATTACCAAGCTGCTGGAAGAGTTTAAGGATTTGACTGAGCCGCCGACAGGCACGGTGCCTCGGCCCATCCAGCACCGTATTGAGATAGAGCCTGGCAGTAGAACTCCTAAGGGTGCGGTGTATAGGATGTCCCCGCGGGAGTTAGAGGAGCTTCGCAAGCAATTGGACGAGCTCCTCGAGAAGGGTTGGATTAGRCYCAGTTCGTCTCCTTTCGGAGCGCCTGTCCTCTTTGTTCCTAAGAAAGAGGGAGAGTTGAGAATGTGTATAGACTATCGGGGACTGAATGCGATTACAGTGAAGAATGCTGAGCCACTGCCTACGATAGACGATCTTTTAGATCGAGTGCAGGGGGGCAAGTATTTCTCCAAAATAGATTTGAAGTCCGGATATCATCAGATAGAGGTGCATCAGACAGCCTTCCAGACTAGATATGGGCACTACGAGTTCATAGTGATGCCCTTTGGACTAACCAATGCGCCAGCTACGTTCCAGCGCTGTATGAACGATTTGTTCAGGCCGTGGTTAGATAGATTTGTTGTAGTTTATCTAGATGACATCCTAGTGTTTAGCCGGACCCTCGAAGAGCATCAGGGTCATCTCAGGCAGGTCTTGGAGAAGCTGAGGGAATCTAGCTTAAAGATCAATGCAAAGAACTGTGATTGGGCAAAGACCCAAGTTTTGTATTTAGGCCACGTCTTAGATGGAGACGGCGTTAAGCCTGAAGATAGCAAGATCGCAGCGATTAGAGATTGGCCCACGCCACGTACGCTGACAGCGTTGCGCTCGTTCCTGGGCCTAGCTAACTACTATAGGAAGTTCGTGAGGAACTTCTCCACCATCGCGGGGCCCCTTCGCAGATTGCTGAGAAAAGAGACAATCTGGAAGTGGGACAAGGACTGCACGTCTGCCATGAAGAAGCTAAAGCAGGCATTGATAGAGTATCCGGTCCTTAAGGTCGCTGATCCGTCCTTGCCTTTTGTCGTTACTACGGATGCTAGCCAGTACGACATAGGCGCAATGTTACAGCAAGACGATGGCAATGGGTATAGACCCGTAGAGTTCATGTCCGC